AAAGTTCCATGCAAGATACTTAAGACCAGAAATTAACCCCCATTTCATATGTACTATCGAGAACTGAACTTAAACTCTTACTTCCCTTCTCCACTTCCTGAAAATTAGCCTGAAGCGCTCCTTTAAAAGCCGTTTTCAAAGTAACTGCAACAAAGCAACAGGGCTAAACATATGATAAAACTTACCAAGGATCACATGGGAAAATAGTGTACACAATTTATCATTAAGAAAATAAGCAATTTATAATACTCAGACAAACAATTTAAGGATCTAAACTGGTAGGAAATGTTGTTGTACAGTAGATCACTCAATCTCGACATTGAACTATCACTAAAAATTAACTCAGTTACACAGAATAAACTGTGCATTTATGTAAAGCATCCAAACGGCTACAGCCCTCACCTTCCAAGGTGATGGTACAGAAACAGCATGACTGCATGACTGCAGCTTCATGTCAGCCCAGCGGTACATCAGTGTGCACAGCTCTACACGGCTTAGGTGTGAACAAGCTGTTAGCCTTGCTTGTCTTTGGAGCCATGTTTACCGAGACAGCCTAAGTGACATGGAGGCCATTTTAATGGCCTGATTAATCTGTACAGCACGTAAAGGAATTCTCTTTCTGAAGCTTACAGGTTTCAATTCTTTGTCCTTCTCAGCTACATATCTTATTTTCATTCTAACAGTAATTTCCATTTAGTTGCAAGACTGGAAAATCCTGACTACTACATCCTGGTATATAAGAATATCAACTCACAAATCCTTCCTCGTAAATACACTTCAGCTCCTCCTAAACTAAAACCGTTCCAAAGACTCATTATGTGTAGCTCTGTAAAAGATGTTTATTATTCTGGTGAATACTTAAATATATTCTGTTACTTTTGTAATAAATGTCTTGCTCACAAGGAAATGGGAAAATGAGAAAATATCTCCATCATGTGGAAACATACATCAGGCCTGCACTATAATTATCTGTGAAGTGCGCCTAACTGATTTGCCCAACAGGCGCCTCGTCAGGAGGCACTCGTGCTGTGGGCTGGTCATCAGGTGGGCGTGTGACGGAGTGAGTCAAATAGGGACGCGTTCACCAGTTCCCCACACGTTGCAGACTCTGTCACACTGAGTCACTCTGATTCTGCTCACACTTGTGAAGGCAGCTGTTCAACCCTAGCGCCGCCATAACTCCTTCTGCAGCCTTTCTGCCAGCACTGCAGCTCCAGCTGCCCCAGGCCAGCAAATGGTAAAAAAAACAAGCAACTGGAACGTCTAAAAAAAAAAAGGATTTTTAAAGGCACGGGCCTCGCATTTTACTCCAGTGCTGCATGCACATACTGTACACTCTTTTACAGAGAGAGGCAATGGCTCTATGAAACTACCATCTGAATGAATACATTTCTTATTAAACACATTATAATAATTTAATCAATGGTGCATTTTCAAAGTTGAACACTACTTCACCCTTTCACGTTACAACAGAGTTCAAATAAGGGGTGACAATACTCATGTAAACCGCTCTAAAGATACAGGGTATGCTACGCATTTCAATGTGCTGCATATGTCTTTGTATATACAGTATCAGTGTCCAACTTAATGACTTCAGGTGCAATTTTGTATTTGGTAACAAAAGTGGGATAAAACTAGAGCCTTTCTTGCCTTAAACCCCTCTTGTAGCTTGCAAAGACAAGATGATATTTATATCTAACGGAAAACAAATGTATGCACATTCTCACTTTAAAACCATAGAAACTAGCGTCAGTACAATTTATATTTTAAGCTGATATTATTATTGAGGGTGGCAGTAAGCACAGCTGCTTCATGGCTCTTGGGTCCTGGCTAGACTGGGATGTCATTATTGTGACGTTTGCATGCTCACCCTGTGACCACATGGGTTAGTCTTAGGTAGAAACCAGAGCACCCAATCTTCCAAAGACATACTGTATTAGTGAGGTTAACTGGGATCTCCGAATTGTACCCTTGTGCTTGGACATGGACGCGTGTGCCTTGTGATGGACTGGATTCCTGCCTTTGGTATGGTCCTGCCTTTTGACCTATTCGTTCAAGACTGGCTCCAGGTTATCACAGGACCCTCAACAGGAATAAGAGGCTTCTAACACTGGTGGATGAATATTATAAAGATTTCCTCATCTGGAATCTGCCTATGCTGAGGCCTGTAGACTGTATATAAAACTGGAAAATGAAAACAATGTGGGAGATCAGCCAAGTACACATGCTGCCATTTCCAAAATGAAATCAGAGAAGAACCAGCTGCTAAACATTTGCCATCCTAGCTGGGACCCTAAAATTGAAACTTCCTAAACACAAACTAGGAAAGACAGAAATATGTGACATCAGCTGGGGTACCACATTAACATATCGATTCATGCTATCAGGTACCATCTACCGGCAAATGAATGAGCTCGTGTCAGGCATTTGCCTGGCTGGCTTGAGGAGATTAAGACAGACTTTGTTCACCTTCTCACAGTCTTGCTGAAAACCGGTGGAGCCTGTGAAAAGGTGCAGTTCAGCCCCACACTTCAAGACAAGGCAATCCTGCTGGAAGAATGGGAAAGGACTGGGCTGCAAGAATTTCAAAACCTGGTGGAATACAAGTCACATCCTGCTCAAGCTGGTCTAGTGGCTCCCCGAGGTCGATCAGATTAGTCACTGGTGTTTCTATCACTAGGGCCGGCAAATATTTACCTATCTTTACTAAAACCCACTAACACCACAGCAGACCTTAACTTGTAATTATCCAAATTATTATAAAGCTGCATAGATGAGCATAGGATGGCTGCCTACAGCTGCCACTTGCATTTCACAGCCAATCTATTCTAATACACATACCCATTTTCAGGACAGAAATTCAAAGAATCGACATTTCATGCACATAAAAAAAGATTAACCATTTAGCAACAAATTTTAAAAATAGAAAAGTTAGTTCTATAATAAACTATAAACCATGTTACTACAGTTTTATTCAGAGGTAACATCCTATAGGAGTACCGCACAATGGGCTCTGTGCACAATAACCTCTTTTCAAGAAAATGTTGGCATATCTAAACACAAAATGAATGGGAGGTGTCAATTTTATTATAATGCCAATATTGTCCTACCAGCTATTTTCTGATTGCTGCATGCAATTCAGGGTCGCGAGGGGAGAGCGAGTGCCTATCCCAACAAGCAGCGGACACAAGGCAGGGCGCACCCTGAACGGGACACCAGTCCATCCCGGGGAACACACAGCCCCAGACAGACATGCACACACTCCTACCAGAGCCACTGTTCCCAGGAGCCAGGTGACCAAACACCATGTCTCTGGACTGTGTGAGGATACCCACACCAAGACACGGAGGACCTACAAACTCACACGGACAGCACCCCAGGGCCCGAACCCAGGGCCCCATGGCAATACTGGCCACAGCAGCAACAGGCTGCCCAGGGCCGGTATTCATTATATAAAAATAAATAGATCTGCAGATCCACAGATATATGTTGACGGTGGACAAACACTATACTGTGCTGAAGAGTTTTGATTTTTAGGCACTGCTTGGATTGAAAAGTTCCTTCGATTTCTGGGGATCCTCTGCAGGGTTGCTCAGGGTTTCAGCGTTCCTGCTAGGGGGTCCCAGAAATATTTGGTTGAAAGAACCCCCCTGAGAGAAATCCAATATGTGTTTACAGGAGTCCACATTTAGCAAGTAAATATCACACTTGCATTGACTAATTGCACCAACAATTGGTTTATTATCGTGACAGCTGGGAAGGAGTGAAAACCACAGGATGCTTCAGCATTACAGGGATGGGACTGGAGACCTCTGCAGTAGTAAAAGCAGTAAGACATCACATCTATAATTACTTGTCAAAAACACTTCAGAATTTGTATTAGTTATTATTGCAGCTTTCCCTGCTTGGGTTCTGGATAGTTTAGTCTTAAAAGCATTTAATCATTTTTCACATCAAGTCAAAACAACTCATCCGCTTACTTAAATAGCACATGGTATTGTCAGGCTAGCTTTTCGGTCTTCTTCTTCGATTATTGTGTTTCTAATCACTATTAAACCCTGGCCCGGAGTGTACAAGAACAATGATTATCCTCACTCTCAGAAAACCCACATGAATTACGAGTTTTACGCCAATGTCTATTGAAATTGTTCATAAACCTTCCCCTTTCGAGTAATCAACCATTAGTCTCCAGTACTGTAGTAGGCTTTGTAATCTTCAACGGAGCAAAACACAAATTGTGTTTACCAGGCAGTACTTATCCATTTCTAATTTGGTCGTTATAACGGACTATTTTCTGTGTTGGGATTTATCTTCGTCAGGTAAAGGGGGATGTATCCAAAAATTTCAAAGCGAATAAAAAAAATACAAATAAAATTATTATTCCTAATGACAATATAGTGCATAGGTAACGGATAAATCACCTGTACCTCGCACTACAGTGGGCTTCGTAGGTATCCACTAAAGTGAAGTCTACTTATTAAACACTTCCAGGATAGTTATCAAGGCCTATCACGGTTTCCTTTTTTGAACCATTGCCTCATTCAAAGTTCAGACACCGTTTCTTTCAGAAAAGTTTTCTTTTACGTTTCACATATCGTAAAGAACATTCAACTCAATCAGTAAAACGAATCGCTGCAAGTAAATCGCATTTTTATAAGGCAGTTCGATGCCGCAGTGAGCTGCGAAAATTAAATGTGTGGTTTTATCGTCAGTGATACTTCATACGATCTACGTAATCCCGGATTTTAACAACTTTATTTTCTTTCCACATCACTGAATTGTCTTTCTTCGTCCCGCGGATCACTAAAAACACTTTTTCGAAGGGTTTCTTGTCAACTTCATGGCTCCCAATTTAGCAGGAAGTAAAGTGAAACCACCCATAATTAAACTCAAGCAACTACAGTAGACTACCGACACAATGTTGCAGACACGAAGCAACATTGTCTTTTTACTCATAACTCCCCCATACCAGAAAGTATTTAAAAACGTGGCACTCATACCGTAAAGGAAAAGAGGGTCCGAGAAAACGATCCTTTCTGCTCTCACATAAGGCTTTTACCAGCCATCATCTCAACTCGCTTGAAGTTTTCCTAAAAAGAAAATGTCTAGATTTGATAGCTGCTTCAACTGTAAAACCGATTAAGCAGAACTACGCCAAGGCCCCGCCTACGCATACTTGTGATTGGACCGCGGCGAGGATACTGGGAATTGATTCGCTCTCACTCACGTCAGTTTCAGTTCAAGGAGGACCATGAAAACTTGGACGTAAAATGCGTAACTCCACCCGAGAGAGGAGTAAACATCTGTAGGGTTTTACCGGCTTCGATCGAAGAGGATTCGGGGGAAGATAATGATGGACTGAAGCGTCCATGTAATTTAGCTTTTTGGGGGTCAGTTCACGAAGACGTGCGTTAATAGCATTGAATGGGAGGAGATCGTTGCCCTGTATCGCGTTTTCTCTGAGTTCTGTATTTCTGAGGAGGCGTTGTGCATTCCTCAGCCCGGTCTGACGCAATTAACGACTTCTGAGGGAGTGCCCGTCGGGGACACGGAAACCTACAGTATATGCCTGCGTAGTGTGTTATAATGATGTCACGTAATATTTGCATCACTGTAATCAAATGCAAACGTGACTTAATCGGTCTTGGCTGATAGACCGTCTTTTAAAATCAGCATTACTTGTCTCCGTGCTCTTTTGCAGCTGTTCACGAACAACAGCGATTTACTGACTGGCTATCCTGCCCAATATTATAACGTTTTTAAAAATGTTAAGAAGAATCTTTAATTCAGCTTTTTGTTTAATAATTGTACCCATCAGTCACGTGATGACGTGTTTAATTTGGGAGGGCCTTATTGTGTGTTCTTGAAAAGAGGTTTTCGTGCACATAGTCCATTACATGGTACTGCTGTATAATATGAGGAATAAACCTGATGTTTCATGGTCCAAGAATTAGTAAACAAAAAATCCTACTTACATTCATAACAAAAAAAAATAAACTGTTACAGAACAGTTTGTCTACTGTGTCAAGAATGCATGAAACAAGAACTAGGATGTTATACAAAGTCATTTTATCAATCGCTAATTCAATCACAGAACAATATTGTTTTAAAAGATAAAGGTCATTCCACTCTGGACTTCAGATTATTTTATGTGAATCAGTTCTTCTCTAAATTGCTCCGCATTCTCACTGTTTCCAGGACTTGAGTCATTGATGATTTTGCGTTACCTGTAATTACCTGGGTGACTGCAGCGCCCTGGGCGCAGGAGTGAGTGTCACTGGTCGAAAGGCTTGAAGACAATGTAACGCTTTTGCAGACAAGTTTGTATCAATCCTATGTTTCTAGTTTAGCTTGGGATTTGTGTCTTCCTACAGTACTGTACGTCTCACACTGCGCTTGCTTCTCTGTGCTGCAACGCGTAAGGGTTGTGTGTTTGTGTGCTCCCTGCTCGCAGGCTAGGGTGTTCCCTCCTCGTTGTCGTGTTTCCTTTATGAGTGTTTATTCCTCCTCAGAGGCTTCAGCGATCATGGACATTTTTATTCCCTCGCGGTCCTTCCCCGAGGAAGACTCCCACGTCCACGTCGACTTCGGCGAATATGAGGAACCTCAGAAAAACTAAAGCGACAGCAGACTGAACCCTGAACGGACATCTTGCTAAGACTTTATAATCATGTTTTTTTTTTATTTCCCAAGTAATATACAAAAAAACTTACACAAAAGGTGCCAAAGACAGAAAAGAACAACAACAACAAAAAAACAACAACAACGCACAAAGTTTTAAAAAATTAGAGCTTTTTTTTCCCGACGGCAAGCGATGTCTTCCATTAAGCAGGGGATTCCTGTCCGAGTTTACTGTACCAGAAAACAAGTCCCATTTCCTTTTTAATCTATTACCAGTAGAGGGCATCTAGATTACACATCTCCAATTACATTACTTAAGCAACAAAGCTTTACATTGTCTAAATATCACAATATTAAGGTTTAGGATACACTGGTCGGAAGTGAGAACAACCTGGAAGCAGAACAAATTCTTAGTGTCCACGTTGTCAACTTTCTATTGCCTTTAGCGCCTTCACTCGTCATGAGTGCTTGTCACCAAATGTAAATATGAAAATTAAAACAGCTTGAATGGGATATAGCCATATTTCTCCATAGTACCCTTTTACAATATTTCCAGTAGTTTTATTAAAACATGACACAGGAGACTGTATCCTTCGATTTACTTCACAGTTCCTAATTTGAAACAGTTTCACTTCCGGTCTTAAACACTTAAAACTTTGAATCAGGGGTCACCAGCTTGTGCAAAACATATAAGTATATACCCTTGTATGTTCCTTTATTCTCACAGTGCAATACCAGATTTTGGTACAATGACAAAATAGATAAGCAGTAGGTAGTCACTAAATGTTTAGATTGTTTTCTATTCTGCAGTATAGAACTGTGATATGGTTGTGATAAAGCAATGAAAATGCCTGTGTGCAAATATTTGTAGCGTTTTTATAGACTGTATGTAAATTGTTTTAAAAACCATTTGAAATAATGTGTAAAAATAAAGTATTGTTTTTGATTGTTCTTTTAGTTGTTGTAGCATTTCTTATTTAAATACTTTAATTGTTTATTTTGTGGTTCTTTCTTTGCCATTATGTAAAAGTGGCTGTTGATCATATGCTAATTAATCACGAATCAAAATTAAGGTTCACTGATCCACTCAGCACTGACTCCAGTCAGTGTTGCCTCTTCACCATTCTGGAGAGGCAATGTGCATTTTGACGGAGGTGCAGCCCTTGATCTACATGTTAAATCACATGTCCCAAAATCTATCCAAAGCACATAGAGGCCTATGGCAGGGGTTCCCAGTCCTGGTCCCAGTGGCCCAACACCAGGCAAGCTCTTGCAATCATGCAATCAAACCTTTATTTGACTTCCTAATAGGATTAATTCAAAGTTTCTGGCTGTTTTTCAGCCCCTAAACATGCATTTTGCATTTCTCAAGTATAACTTTAAATTAAACCAAAAAGCCTGTGAGTAAGAACTTGTTTGAAGGAAAACTCCAAAGACACTGTTCCTGCCAGACCAGGATTAGGAAGCACTGCGCTGGAGAACAATGTGTGCTTAATAGCTCCACCTCGTGTTGACCCAGCTCAGCATGTAGCTGCTGCTGGCATTGGGCAGCGCATGGTGCAGTATGGCCTGGCCAGGCCCCCTGGCACTGTGCAGCAGGCGATACCCGCTTGTGTGCAGCTCCTTCATCAGGCTGTACCAGAACCGCACAACCTCTGCGTCGCTGCCCCCCACCTCAAACCCGGCCCACTGTAAGTGCACTGTCAGAACCAGCTGCTGGATCTGCGTGAGGGTGCCATCCAGAACCCAGCTCTCCACAATCCTCCACTCGGCGCTCTCCAGGTCCGCTTGGACAATCTCCACCTGATCCGAAAAGAGAGAGAGAGCGTAGGAATGTGATGCAAGAGATGGAAAGAGCACACATGTGGATAGGAAATAAACATGTGAAAAATAGGATTCATATATATATTTTCGGACAGCAATGACAAAGTGGTTGACCTTCCACTTAGTCTCCAGGTATACACAACAAGTTGCTGAAGAAGACTGCACTACAACAGCACCCTCTAGGAGACACAGTGTCTCTCTGCTGCAATGCCAGAATTCTGTCTTTTCACCAGCCTGGGCTTTCTTTACAAATGCAGAGTCTCTGTTCGCCCCAGGGAGCAGGATGTGAAGACCATAACCTCCCTGAGCCCTAAAATCCCACACAAAACATTCATGCTGGGATATTCTTACAGAGAGAGTGCTCTGCTTGCGGCCTTGCGCAGAGCAGGTGGGAGACTTTTGAACATCAGGAAGGGCGAAAGGAGCTGGTGAATTTCTGTGCTGATACACAGCACACTTATCGGGCATATTCTTTTTGACCTGTGTTGCGTAGATGAAGCACGACACATAAAAGCTGCTGACATGAACTGAACCAGTTTTCTACAGACACACGGAGAAACTTTCACGGGCTGGCGCGTAATATCCTGTCCACTTATGAATGCCTTGCAAAAGCAACATTCAGACATAACAAACTGTAAATACTATAAAGGAACAAGTAATAGGTTTATTCCATGCTGAAAAGAGAAGAAAGAAAACACAACGTTTCAGTCGTGTCACCTGAAGAAGGCTCCACGGCCGAAACGTTGTTTTCTTTCTTCTCTTTTTAGCATGGAATAAACCTATTCCTTGTTCCTTTGCAGCCTACGCGTGCTGACACAACTACCCACCTGAACTACTGTAAATACTATATGTACAGTTGCACAACTGCAGTATTGATGTCCATCACTTGAAACAATCTGAACAGCTAATTCACTTGTTTTTTAAGTAAGTGATAGAGTGCTACTGGGAAGCCTCTGCTTGGATGTTGGATACCACTACAGGTCTTCCGTGGTCTGAGCCAAAAGCATGGGTGCTAACAGAAGCTCAGTTCATCTGCCACAAGGTGGAGCTCTTTGAGAGACGCACATTTACTGTGAATTTGTCTTTTTTTTTCTGGTAAGGTTCCACTAATTAAAATGTTTTGGGTTTTTTTTTATGACTGTATAATACACACGTATTCATTTGCATATGTTAAGATGTTTCCTTATTATAATTCATCTGGACATTTACCAGACGTAAGTGTACAATTAGTTCCGGTAGGCAGCTGCGTCAGCATGTGTAGCCTGCAAAGGAACAAGTAAAAGTTTAATCCATGCTGAAAAGAGAAGAAAAGAAACTTTCTTCTCTTTTCAGCTTGGAATAAACCTTTGTTTGTTCCCTTGTAACTGTACAATTACTGGCGGTTGACTGGGAAGCTTTTGGAGGCTGGAATCAATAAACCACGATTAATTCTGAGGGTTGTCTGGATCCCACACAAGTTATAATTGTGGACCCATCATGCCCTCCTTCTATAGAGTAGAATGTTAAAGGGCTAAAGCTGGTATATGTATGAAATGGTGTAAAATGTCATTCACATTTAAGCTGTTCAATGTTCCATCAGGTGTCTATGCCAAAATCTGACCACCCAAATTGAAAACTGATTGGCTGAAGACACTTCATTGATTTGTTCATAGGGTTTTCTCTTTTCCCTGAAAAGGCTTTAATACCATTCTGTGGCCCAGCATCTGCATGATGGCACTGAGTTTCCTGGGTGTGGCCTTTCTGTGCCCCGTCCTGGGATTGCGCCAGTCTAACCACATCTGGTGGTGCTGTACTCGTTCCTGGGTCTGTCGGGACTTTCTGCCTGGATCAAACTGATGGACCTCACAGCCCAGTGATGCCATGCTGGACACAAACTCCTCATCCTTCTGGTCCATGCTGGGAGGGAGAGAACACAGTCACTGAACTGTTGCTCCAAACAATCTACTTAATATAGGAGAAGGGGGGATCTACACCAGTTTGCACTAGAGGGCTGAAGCCACAAGAAAACATCAACTTGGTATAACACCAATCCATTAACACAGTGCTAGCTCTGACTTGTTAAAAGCAATAGCCAACATTTAAATACACCAAAGTGCTGATTCTTACAAACACCAAAAAAGCATTTTAGTTTTAGCACGGCAGGTAGCAGTAATGTTAAGGCACCTGGCTCCACCTCACTAATATCTTTAAGCCTGCACTCGGTCAGTATGTGGAGAATATACCAGATGATGCCTTGTTGTCTATTTATCTATTTATCATCTATCAGCTATCATCTATTAAGCTAGCATCAGCCGTGCTGCTGACAGCCAGTTGCCAAAACATGATTAAGCAAAGCAGTCCCAGCATAATTGATGTTTATGGGTGAGAATCTTCAGCCCTGTTCAGACTATCCTGTACTTGACAATTGTACTTCTGACAAAATTAAAGATTCTGCTATTCAATGAAATGTGTGTGCTTCTGGTCCCAGAGGAGCATCACCTCTGAGAAGCAGTATAAGACAGCAGTATGAAAACTGAATATACTTAATTATAATTATTGGCTTTTAGGAAAATTGGCCCTCGTGTGAGTGCGTGCGTTATCGTCTATGTCTATGTCCAGCGTGTATTATGTGCCCATTGTTTGCTGGAAGAGGTGAGAAAATGGATAGATGGATTAACATGTAATGGGATACTACAGTATGTCCTCTTACATTACATTAAATACAAAATATTTATTTCTTCTTATCCTTTGTCCTTAAACTGCAAATGCTTTTGGAACTGTAAATTAATCATTGAGATTTACATCTCTTATGAAAAAACACTTGTGGTAAAAGGGCAACAGCAGATTGTACCCACTGCATAACATTATCTACAAACATAGCCACAGGCTTGCGTAAAATTTTACTTTTGCAAAAGGGATTTTAAATGTTAGCACCACTGAGTTCCATGGATCAGCTGAGGAAGAACCTGTTAAAAATTATTCAGCTCCATTTCCTACCTACCTAAAGGAGTAAGCCACACAAGACTGCAATCCTGTCATTGGCAGGAACCAGCCCTCCAGGCAGACAACCCAGGAGTCTGCTGGGGCCTTCACAGCCTGGGCCTTGCCTGGAAGCAGTTCCCGGGCACAGTACACCTGTACAGGGAAAACAGAACATTCTCACAAAGGAAACAAATGTAATCTTTATCAAAAGTTAAGTTGGAACTCAGAAAATGAAGAGGCATTCATGGTTTTTGTGAAAAGGGATTGAACTTGTAAGTATTATTAAAAAATCTTTTGACAAAAAGAAGATAAGTGTAAAACTAGATAAATTGTATACACAAAACTAATAACTTTATAAAGGGACGATTAAAAAGTTCAGGGCCTACAGATGTTTATGCCAGAGACCATTGTTGTTATACAGTATGACTCAAGAACCAAGGTCACAGTACACTAGATTGTTTAGTTCCTTTATATTTGCCTTGGCTTTCGATTGCACAGAATAGAAGAAACAAAATTGAATTGCTGATCTAACTCTGTTGCATGTAAGAAATCTGAAAATGTCCTTTTCTTGAGGAATACAGCTAAACATTGAATCATACCGCATGTTGGCATGTGTGTATTCAACATGGCTTATGTGTTCTTATAGCATCCGTGTTGTCTATTTTTCCATCTATCATCAGAAAGCTGCCATTGCTGATACCAGGTCATACATAAAGGGACAATTTATAACTGACAATCAAAGCTAGCCAGTCTCTGGGAAAAAAAAACTGGATGATTAGAGGGAAAAGCTGCACAAATGTACATGAGGCCACAATCAGACACTAAAGCTGTAAGGGCAGCAACACAAACCATCACACCATGAACTGCCCACAATCAGGTTCTCATTTTAAATGAGGTTTTCTGTAATATATCTGAAGCACTTACTGTCATGATCCCCCTGGCTGCAGTGCTATGTAGTAAGCTGGTGTTGTAATGGTAACCCACCACACCTCCAACCTCCTGTTAAGGCCGGTTACCACAGAAAGACAGGAAATCTGACCACCTGTGTGCACTTACCACTTTGCTGGACTCAGGTGGCTCAGGTTACTTAAGGGCAGCTGAGACTTCACTCCTTCCACTCACTCACTCTGGTATTGAGTCTGCTTGAGTGGATATTCTTTAGATCCTGCTTCTAGCTTGTTCCTCAGTTTCTCTTAGCTTTGTTCTCTAGTTCCTGTGTTCTCTAGTTGCTGCTTCGGTGTCTGTCTGAGTATTCCCAAATTGCTATCCCTATGTACTGTATTTCCGTGTCACCCTCTTTAGTTCCTGTCTTCCCACTCTTGTGCTTGTTGGACTCCTGACCTGGCTTGCCCCGACTTCACTGCCGGATCTCCCCCAGGCTTTTCTATGGTGTTTATCTTAGCTTAGACCTTGGCTTCTTATGATCTTGTTTCCCGGACTTTCCCAAATGCCTTGCTACTGTGTCTGATTCTGCCAACACCACCCACAAAGTGGAAAAGCGCTGCTTGACAGCACCCCATCTGCCTGTGTGTGTTCTCTCCTGTCAGTGCACAGACCGCTCATCCCAGCCACTGTGTGCTGCCACCCAGAGTGCTCTGTACACTCGGACACAGTCTCTGATTGTATTGTGTTCCCTCGCTTGTAGTGATTTTCGCCCAGCTCCCAAGAACAGTCCTCCTCTCCAGTCACACAAGGTGCTGGATAATAAGTTTTTCAACGTGTATTTGGAAAAATAAGCTTGGGTGACGTGCACTTAAGGGAAACCAGATTCAATTAAATGTGGGCGTCCCTGTGATTTCAAATAAAACCAGCTAATTCCTGTAGAAAGTATTTTGTCATTGCCCTAGAAAGTCAAAATAAGAAATGTGGTGCAGATTTATAATGATATGAGTTTCCGATTTTATGCGGGATCACAGGGCTTTGTATATCATATGGGGGCCTGGTTATTAACCTTTGCCTCTGTGGAAACTGCTGGAGTGAGGCTAGAATTTGCCTGCACCACAGAATTTGTTATTTCCCAGGGACATCTACCAGCAATAAATCAGTCACCCTGGGAATAAAATGAAAAACAGTCAGATGCTAAGAACTGTTTTATAAAAAAAAAGACAGGAGATTTACTGCCCAGTGTGGAAGTCCAGCTTGCAAAGCAGATGTGAAAAAGCTTTAATGATGAAATGTGGGAAGGCAAGCTTTTGAGAAAGAAAAGCCATCTGCAGCAATGGCCCTAGATGCTGTACGGAAGAGGCTATGAATCTGATGATGAGAATCCTGTGTAGTACAATTTTTCTTTTTTTAATCACAGCACATTTTAGCACAGATTAAACAACGTCTTATCAGGAGAGCAGGGGGAACGTAATGCACTGCTCAACAAAAAGCACTATATGTCATGTTATGCCATTACATTATAATATGAATAATGAATTTAGTTTACATGGACTTCCTATGATTTGTTTTAGAAACAGGACTCTTTGCTGTGTTACTGCACTGCAAACATTGAAGCACAAAGAGTGGCCGTCCAGCTCTTTTTTTGAACAGGTTACCACCAGGCCATCTTGGGAGGGCAGTACCTGTGGTGTGGTGATGAACATCAGGAGGCGCTCCACCTCTGCTGTAAAAGAGGGCTGCCCAGCAGCCCAGGGCTGCAGCTCCACCTGCCTCCTGGCGCCCCCCTGTGGAAGAAACAGAACCTGTCTGTCACCCTGTGAGAAGCAATGGTTTGGGTACAGTCCTTCATTCCATCAGGTACATCGGATGAAAAAAGGCAGCAAAAGGAAAGAAAAAAACAATAAAATGTCACTAAAAATGGAAGGTATTTGTTGGATGAAATGGTACTACAGCAGGTGCAATTCTAGCTCCTGGCAAAAAAGGAGACTTTCATGCCATGTTTGTATTATTGCCATCGCCAATGAGATTTTTGAAAAATGCAGAAGCCAGTAACATTTTTTTTTTAGCTGAGCTGTAATGCATGACCAAACGACCCCCTTCATTTAAATGGAGGATGAGAGCAGTGTTAAGAAGGTCTGCATCACACTTTGACTTTGGACTGAACAAGTTATAAAAACAGACCTCTTTACAGTGGAAAAATAAATATACCAAATTCAGAAAACCCGCTAGGTGCAATAAATTCAGTTTAGCCATCACTTTCCATGTGAGAATCTTATTAGATTCTACCTTTGACTATCATCATGATAGAAATGAAATAACTGTCTTAGGTTGGGTAACAAAAAACAGTCCCACTCTGTGCAACTTGTGGTGAATGATACCAAAAAAAGCAAAAAACAGTTAGATAATTGTTAGTGGACCTTTAGATTGTTTTATTTGGAGTATAGCACCAATTCATTGACCACTCCCCTGAGTTCTGTTTCATTCACCACTTCTAAATTCCTCGGTCTCTTCTCTAGCAACCTTGAACCCTAGTCAGTGTGTGCAGCACTGCCTAAACTCATACTCAGCAGCATGTGAAACAATTTTAGGTAAATTATTTTTTATAAATAACTTTACCCCATTAGAAGCCACTTATAGTTCATAATCATCTGCTCCTAATCCAGAATATAACCCAAAACCCAAAAGCTGTAAGGTAGCAGTGATAACCTTCAAACTCTCATGCTGCCAATTGACTTTGCTATTATCATAAACTTTATTTTATATAGTGCCTTTTAAAGCAAAAAGTGCTGCTCAAAGCCCTTTACAGCACATATATCGTAACAAAGGAGATAACAAGGAGCAGACCAGACACTGATTAAATAAAAGCCTTTTTCTGAAGAAGGTTTAGTCTGGATTTCAATGTCCGCAAGGTAGGTGATTGTCTGATATAGATATAGGGACAGAGATCCAGAGCTTTGGGGCATAGGAAAAGACAGCCCTGTCACCCATGGAGTGAAACTGAGATTGGAGGACAAAGTGGAGACCAGAATCAGAGAAATAAAGATTGTGAGGTGGGGATTAGGATGATAATAAATCTGATAGGTACTAAGGTTCAAAGCAGGAGCCTTAAAGGTGAGCATGATGATTTTGAAGTCGACACTAAACTTGATAGGAAGCCAGTGTAAATTCTCCAGGACAGGGGTCATTTGATTACTCGCACACATCCTGATCACTTCTCTGGCTGCCAAATTCTGGACATACTGAAGTTTGATTTGTGTGGATTTAGATATCCCAGATATTGGGGAACTGCAGTAATCAATTCTTCTGGACAAGACAAATGTATTGACCTGTATTTTTGTCATATACAACATAGGATGTAATATACGGCAATATTTGTATAAAATATGTATAAAATATTAAATATGAATATTTAATAAAAATGGTGGAAGATGTTTAAATAATACACGCACCACAAAGTCTGGCAAAGCCTCTGCTAGAAATAATAACAGTCTTGTTCATCAAAATCATTTTTTACCATATGTCCTGGAAAGTGTATTGGGACACCTCTCAGTGAGGACTGCTGTGTAAGCCATTTTTTTCTGCCTAGAAAAGAGCAGCTCTGCTTTTTTAGACACAGGTATTTGAGGAAACAAGAGTTTCCGATAGAACATAGCAGCAATACTCCATATTGAAGCAGAAGTGATTTCTTTCAGTGGTCTTTCAGCAGGACAGCCCGAAAACTGACTTATTTTGAGGTCTGACTACATTGCTCAACTGGATGTTACCCACTCAGTAAAGACACCTTATATGGACTAAAGTAAACACACCAGAAGAATCTGAGGAATGTCTAAAGTGACTGTTTATGTCCACTAGTGAGCACTCCTGTTTGTCTGTCTCTAGAGGCTGTGAACAGCGGTTTCCCTTAGCAACAACAATAGCCCCAGGAACTTTTCTCCTTAAAAGGGTCTCTGGGGGGGGGTCAAAGGTCAAAGGTTGAGCCCCATGGCCACCCTGCTCTTTTGTAATGTACCACAGTGCCAGCAAGGAGTATCTTTTTTTAAAAGAAGCTTGGAAATAATCCACAGAATGCTGAACAAAGGAGTACAACATTATAGCACTCGTCTAGCCACTTAAAAAAAATTAAGGAGGGAACTTCCAGTCTTGACTCACATGACTGATCTGACTAACAAAATTGGCAAAGGAAAAGAAATAATACTAGCCTTATTGTCTGCGGAGACGCCCTTCTGGGTCAAACTATTCAAGGGCTTTGAATCTTTATATATTCGCTTAATTTAACCCCTTACTTATTTCGTACATTTTTTAAGTATTGTGTATTATCTTGTCGACTGTATTATTTTACTTGAATAAAAAGTACAGTTATTTGCCCGCTCAAGGCTGGAAAATAACAGTCTACAGACAAACCACAGCTGAGTATGTAACAGAATGTAACACAGAAAAGAATAAATAGAGCTTAATTCCACAGTGAAAAGTGAAAAGAAGACATTTCTACTGTGGAGCCTCTTCAGGTGTGTGACAGAAAGAGACAGTGAGCAGGAACAGGAATGTGTAAAAAATGAAAAAAATAAAGAGAAAGTGAGAATGTCTTTTCTTCCCTATTCCCCCACATGTAATTGAATAATTAACACCTGGAACCTTTTGTGTTCTGCTTCTAGAGCTTCCTTTAACTAGCTCTGCTTGAGGACAACTTAACGATATCTACTGTAATGGTGCCAGTTCAAATGAAGAACAATATAGTAACAAGACCTAAGTTAAAGATGACATAAGGCTACAATAGGATCCAGTCTGTATCTATTAAATGTTTTACTGTTTATATACATCTGCCTTAAATATCTGTACGTGCTCTATACAGCCTCTGCTGTTACACACTCCGGTACAAGTTACCTGGTTGTAGTAAAATTCAGCTCTTAATTAGGTCTGTGTATCCTTTGGCTAATATCTGACCGTATCTCACAAACCATCAGGTGAGCAGCCTCAGGGGAGAAAACAACAGCAAGTTAACGATCGTACCAAGCTATACATTAGAAACTCATGACTGGATATTTTTACAGCGGGAAGGGGAGAGAAATCGTATGTTCTATTTTTTGTTTCTCGGAAAACTGATAATCTGTCACCGATCTGTATACACGACAAAGGGAAAATTGCCTTTGGGGAAGTTATACATTGTGCTGATCAGTTTACAGTCTAGATGAGAAAATACCTGTTGAATATACAGTAAAAGCGCCGTGTGACAGTGTAGCGTCTAGGGCTGCCTCAAAGCGAAAAAATAAAATTAGAAGGCAGCTGAAAAGGGAGCCGCTAGTCTGTAATTTAGTAAAAGTACACAGCCTTCTTTAAAGAGAGGGTAATTTTTAATTTAGGTGCCACTGACAGACATTGCTACAGTACCTCTGAAGCTTCAGTTTTGCACGAGTACAATGATTGAGAAGAAGATTTTTTGTAACTTAAAAAATTACATTTTTTAAAAATAGTTTACTTGTCCGTGTAAAATAGCAGTTTATGGTTTTATTTACATTTACATCGTGCTTCCTTGCGTAACCTTGATATACGACATTCAGATCAGCAGACCTGGGTTACAGAAAAACAAAAATTCAAATTAGAAAACTGTAAGTACCGTACACCTTTTAATGTGTAAGTGGACAGGAGTGAGTAAGTACCTACCAAACGAAGAAGAAATTTCAGAAATGGACTGAATTTATAGAGTCTTTGTCTGGTAGTAAAGAATTATGTAGCTAACTTTGTCCATCTTGACCTGGAAACGGCGCTTTTAAAGAATCACTTAAGTTAAAAGGAAAGCATGTGGAATGTTGTCAGTCATAAGAAAAGAAAGATGAATAAACCTTAAAATCGACATCAAGGATAATGCCGACTTAAGTGTGTTATGACAACAACTGTTACTGTAATATTTTACAACCCCCGCTCCTTTGCAAAACGTCTGTTGTAGTGTGTGCACCAATTCTTAAATATTTCTACAAAAGTAGTCAGGTACAGAAAGTGACGAGTGGGTATTTACCTGTCGGGTCATCAACTCATTCTCATCCTCGTATATATGCGGGCTGTAGTTTGTCTGTACCCCTGGTTCACTTTCCGAAAAATCAGTTCTCCAGCTTTTCGCTCCCCGGGGATAGACGTTCTTCTGCTGGAGACTTCCTGAGTCAGCTCCGCCTGGCTTTCTTTCTTCATGGGTATTTTCAATACTGATAATCGTGAAAGCGACCGTGTCCTCTGAGAAACGGCGATTACCCGGCACTAAGATCGCAATAAATATCTGCAGCAATAAAAGTAATGGAACTATTACCAGACAAGTGCGCATGAGCGCGCAGTATAGCCTCCTGCCGGGTCGCATTCCTCGATCATGCCTCGAACATAGCTGTAGGTACTGCCGACCATCTCGTCACAGGCGCCTCTGCTGCTGCCAGAAATCTCCCCAAGTAGTTCATTGATTAGCCCTTCGCTTTTGTCCTTTCGCTGAGATGTGGGCTGTCAGTCCTTAACCTGCGGGCGCACAGTCCGTCCCATCCCAGCGCTTTATTACAGTGGAAATCCGATTCAGGCGTGGCTCCTCTGAAGTCTTAAACCAAGCCTAGATTACTTAAATTCGCTGTGGAAACAGTCAAGTGAACAGTGTTCAGACCTTAAAAGCGTCTCCTTATGACATATATGACATATATCTATATATGGCTAGACAGGCCTACCAAACAGGAACATTATATCTAGATTAAAGCCAAAGTTTTAAAAATTTCCCCAGTGAAAGTGGTGATTTGAACCGATTGAGTTCATTACAAAGAAATAACGAGACATTATTTTTTACAAAGGGCTGTGGAACAGCCATATTGGCAAAGCCAATACCCTCGTATCCTCGGATACAAATTTAGCTCCCTGAAATTCAAACGATTTAAGATGATCCGAATGGCCTGCTCTTTATTTGTCAGCTCCGTGTTATAAAAATGGCCCCAGGGTCTTTACACACAGAGATACGAAAAAATGCAGTCTGTTACTGAAGGTTTACCTGTTTTATGAAAACAGGAGTATAGGACAGTAACCCCCATACAGGAGTGGCCGTCGTGGGATTCGAAGCAAGGACTAGACGTTGTGTGACTTCTAAATCCTGCTAAGAGGAGAGCGTTCATTGCTTAGCACTGAGACAGACATACTGTATGAGAGACTGCTTGTCTTGTCTCCTGGTAGTCTGGGGCTTTGATAACTAAATTAACAATGTGACTAATTTATTTTGTTTACTAAACCCCAGATTTTATAGCGGTTCCCGTATCACTAAAATGAGATATAATCTTTTCTGGTATTAGGGTCTCACGGGGACTGTACAGTGTTCGCAGTTGGTGACATCAATGATTGCTGCGGTGGCCGTGAGATGTTAAGAGCTCAAAAAGTTTAAACATCGAGGAATTATTATTATTATTATTATTACAAGGAACAGATTTTAATTATTGAAACTGTAAACTAGTCACTTAAAGTATAAAGTATGGATCGTGGATAAAATCATAGCACCTTGTGGGTTTTATTTGTATTTTACTAATTTTAAATAACTAATAATTTCACAACTGTGTGTTTGATATGCCATCATTTTATGTAATATGAGATGCGGTTGATTTTGCGTGTTGCTTTGCATCATATATGAAAAGGACTTTTTATACTATGGCAGTGGAACGATGAAGACGGTTATTTCGTATACTTTGTATTTACAAACCAGGAAAGATGGGTATTTTACATCTCTCCTGGACTTAAAAAGGTGTCATCGTATCCACACAGCTGTTGTTTAGAGGGTTTAAAACGATGTGTCCTTATTCAAAAGGGCAACAGTCCAACACTCCCCAGCCTTGCAAAGTATGGTTCCGATGAAAACGTCTTTGATAAGTTCTTGAAGTGACTCTCTTCCCTTTGTTCCTTTTTAAATGTCTGCAGGCTCACACAAAAGGGTGTCCGCTGTTACACAATGCAGCCAACAGGTGGCATCTATATACAGGGCACGGTATTTCAATTGGCAACACCCTATCGACAAGGTGATGTTTAAAGCGTTTGCAGACGTTAAGAGAACTGTGTTGGGTGATAGAAGCTTTCCTCTAGTGGAGTAAATTAGCTGTAATCGGCTAAAATATCTTGAGCCAAGACGGACAGAGAATTCCGATCATATCTTATTATGCTTCGTCATTTATTGCCTATGAAAACAGTTTTTAGGCTATAATCAACTACAGACGTCACCTTTTTTTAAAGTATTTCCAGTTCCCAAGCTTTGTGTGGCCTTATGTGCAAACAATGATTTCAGCGCGGATATCGGGACAGTTTCCTTCGATTTGACCAGTCTGGTTGCAGCAGCGGCGGGCTGGCTCATTCCCAGGGAAATTATTCCGCTCCGCACAGCTCGCCTGTGTGTCCTCGTTTGAACTTCTGCGTAGTAGAAGTGTTGTTTTCATTAGAATGTCTAACGGAGCGTCGTGTTCCAAAGGCTTCAGCTGCGCTTTCACCGTTGGAATACTAATACTGTAGCGTGCCTAGCATATGCACCGCATGTCCCTATATCATGATGGGGTTTTTTTTTCTTGTAAAAACATCCACACAACACTGCAAACGAAAGCAATTAAAGACCCGATAAATGACAAATAACGATGAAATGCAACACAAGGGATATTAACACAGGGGATCTGCTATGTACACAGTACAGTCTCCTTCTTATATGATGATGCATTTATGATTCAGAATTCAGTGAATTGACTAGGCTTATTTTCTACTTTGCATTATACTTTAGTGAGACTCATTGAATGGGTCCATTAATATTTATCTACAGCATACTGTCTAAAAGAAACGTTGAGGGGTTATGGGGGAGCAGGCTTGTACTGTATTTAAAGGGCCTGGCTGTATATGCTGAATCTTAAGCCTGATGTTGTTTAATACTGTTCCAAGACTCCAGCTGAGGATTTGACAAATAATCTCTTAATTGATTGAACCGGGATTTTACTGAACACTTTCACATCCTTACTTGAAACGCTTTGATCATACTTACAGTATGTACTGTTAATTGTGTAGGCAATGCATAACTTAGAATCTATTCTACGTTGTGTATATACAGTACCTGTATGTGTGCATATTACTTTGTATACTTTTATATATTTTGTAAAGTTAACAGCTTGGAATTGTTCCTTATTTTGCAGTGTGTGTGCATAGATGACTGTATTTAACAAAACGCCTTTTAGGAGTTTCCATTGTATAGAAAAGATAAGCTGTGCTTCACACTTACCTGTTTTTAACTCCTCTCTGGCACAATATGTCTTCAATTATTATATTTCACTTACACATCACAGCATACATGTGTTTTGGGAGTAAGCAAACAATTCCCAAAGAGACATAATGTCTGGCATCTAAGCAGTAAATATTTGAATAATAGGATTAATTAAGACTCATCTATCCCACATATTTATGAGTCCTTCTTACTTCAAATTGAATTTAAATCAGTTCAAAGAAGAAAACGTTAAACATGTCTAGATGAGAATATATTAAGTTCACATTTTGAAAAATGGGACTTTTAACTATGTGGGACTTCAAAATTGGATTTCAGCCAATTTACCATGCACAACAAGTGAAGATCTTTATTTCTGCTTTTCCAAAAATTGAAACTGATCCCCCTACCCACTCAGTCAAACCCCCAAATTAAACACAACAGACATTATTTAGCAATGGTCTGAACTGAATGTGTATTGAAACATATGCACTGCAGGTATATGATATGTTAACAGACAATACAATATTCCATCTCACAAACCACCTCACAACACATTGAGAGTCCAGAAAAGAAAAAAACCCAGAAGAATTGCCAGTCCATTCTACACCCTGAGCTTTTATCGCTTCAACACAGAAAGCAAAAATCGCTTTGCACAACAGACAGGGAGAGAAGGAAGGAGGATAAAACAATAACTGTAAAAAAAATTTAAGTAGTAGTATTTTCCCTATATATATCTATATAGATATATAAATCAATTTCTTTGGGGTGCGCACAGCATTTTTAAAAAGAAAAATATAAAAGAAAACATGCCATAAATCACACCACAAAACTACACTTGATGGATAAAACGCGATATGCCATACATAGATTAAAATAAAACAATTATATACAATAAATATGTCATAAACCCTTTCCATATTTTGTTTTCACGTAAATAAACATTTCAGTGCATATTTCATAATAATAACCATTTCTTTGTCTTCTTTTTTTAAGTCTATATACATATGCTGGTATCACATGAACTGTACAACTGCAGTCCACAAGTCTGTAGCAAGTCTGGAGGAGTGACAGAGAGAGGAGGGAGGGAGAGCAGGTTCTTGTTGCTAGGCGATGGCAAAGGCCCTGACTGGAATCCTGGGTGATTGAAAAACTTTAATCGCACTGAAGAGGAGGATGGGAAATGGAGTACTGCCCAGTTGAATGGCTAAACAAGAAAGAGAGAGGGAGAGGTTAAAAACTACAACCAAATCTGATGTTTTTTTGGTATAACACAGTAGAGGATACAGTTCTTGTGACTTTCACTGACAATTGCCAGCGACTCTATGACTCCCTTTGGTAACCACTTGGATGAACACAAGAGAATCTGTCTGAGACTTCATAATGTCTTTCTCTAAAACAGAATAAAATCGGTTTAGTCTCAAACAGGAACACTGCTTGATTCAAGTATTGAAAATCCTCTAAGGAATAGAAAGATTAACCAAAAAGAGTTTTTCAGAGTAAGCAGGATATAGTAAAGAGGACATACTGTAGATGGCCACCAAGGGGAAATGCTTCTTTACACAAAGGGGTGTAGGAGTCTCAAACTATTTATCCTGCCTTAAAGCACTTTTCTTATGTTCTTTAGCTTGGTTCCTTCCCATTGTCCTCTCCAAGCTGGTGTTTGAGGTGTTGGAGCAGATCAGCTACATTAAAGCCTGGGGTTTCAGTGTAGGAAGTTCTGCAAAGAGATCCTTAAACCAGCATTTTAAAAGCATGGTAAGTGATACTTTTTAAACAGCCATCTCATTCACTGAATCTCTTGCAGAAAGTATCCTGCCACTTCCATTGCTGAAAAAAGACTTTAGGGAACATGTCACAAGTGAGGGCAGCGTGTTCAAAAGATTTCTCCAATCCAAACAGGTACCCATTATACCTTCCCCCAGTCGTGATTGCACAGATCTTTTTGCTTTCACGTGTTGACAGGGATTCCAGGACTCTTACTCCACAAAGACATCAGAAGCCAAAATTATCTTTATGCTACATTCATACTGTACCTTCCCCCAGCTTTCAATGACTAATTTGTTTCTAGATCTCTCCATTCCAGTGTTTCACATTTCCAATGGAGTTCATCTCCCCAGTTTCATTTGTTTGGACCTGTTTTTCCTTCAGTACCTCGCATTCTCTTTCTCTGGGACACTTAGCCCACTCCTAGGCCTCTTATTCCTGTTCCCTTCCTTTCTTCTACTTTTCAAAGTGCAAATAGCCTGGACCTGTTCTTCTTTACACCAACCAACTACAGCTCACCAAGGAGAGACACATTATGGCACAGACCTAGTCACTTCTGAACACTCCTGTAAGGCACAACCGAGCTCAGGGCTGGTCTGTCACATGACGAAGGGCAGCCACAGGTGGGAGGGGCCACTGACATGTGACACCTCCATGTGACAGAGGACACAGGGGGGTGTACCTGTGAAGCCCAGTTCATAAACAACTGTTAAGGTTCAAATTCGAAAATAACTTGCAAGTCCAAGTATGTTTTGTGTATCTAGCACAATTTCATGTTTTTTAACCAGTACTGTAAATAATTACCTACATGGTGGGATTATACGTTCCTTTCTGTGAGGGAAAAGAGAACTTACTTGTGCTCTGAAAACGATCTTTCATGGAGATTTGTAAAGCCAGGGTCTGTCGCCATGCCTCCATCTCTTCACAGCTCACAAACGCCAGTCCTTCACCCGCCAGGCATACTGCACTCCGTCCCCACTCCTTCTCAAGAGGGTACTTTTTCTTTTGCTTGTTGGAAATAAACGTTTGTTTGTTTGTTTTTCTTTTGATTGTCACTGCTAGGGCCCGTTGAGTGTGTTGCAGTTTTTTTCCCCGCTAAAAGTTCAAGTTTTTTTTCTCTTACAAAAAGAAAAAAAAATGTCCGCGATGATTTCAATCCCCTTAAAAAAAAAAGTGTAAAAAATTCTTCTGTAAAAGCCTCTGTTAAATTGCACCTGAAAAAGACAGATAGAGAAAAAGGGGAAAAAGACAGAATATTGGAATTTTTAGAATTACAGAAACCAGAAGCCGTAGGAAAATTGCAGTGTCCCAGTCTTTTGCATATATTCTTTGCCAGCCAGATGTAAACTCTCAATGAGAACCTACAGTATGGATAATCATCAAATAATCAATACAAATTAATACAAAAATACAATATGCCTCTGCTAACCAATCTTTCTATTACTCCATATTACTGATAAGCCTATTTCATTCTACATACCCAACAGACTATCATTGCTCTCACATTTTACACATTTGATCTTTGGGCTTTCTTTCAAAAGTGAGCTTTGGAATGTGCAAAAAAGTATATGAAAGTGACATTGGATCTGAAATCAAACACATTAGTTAAACGTAAAATATACATATATTTTAAAATTGCAAACAATTTATATAATCAATTTCAATACCAGTGCAATCTCTGTATGCAGTGTATCATTTATCCAGCTGAGTGACTACTCCAGTGAAAACTGAACATCTTCCTAGCTTTTCAGGGGAACCTAATTTTCTACACTCTTCATACATGAGCCTCTGCAGACTAAAGGGTGTGCAGTACTGAAACACTTCCTTGGGCTTATCTGCTGACATTGCACCTTGAAGAAACTCTACGGAACAGATTTTTGCCAGTTGACAGGCAAATGGCAACAACAGAGAGTTTTTAAGAACTTGCAGAACAGATTAGGTAAGAATGAGATCATAAACATGCTGAAATCCAAATAGATACAACTACCCCCTCCTCTCCTGGTCTGGGATTTTAATATTTCATCCAGTATCACCAACATTTTAATAGACTTATCTACTGGCACCTGTATGAATGGACATTTTACAGGACAAACAGATACAAAAGATCTAAGGTGTCAATTTTATCACTTCAGAGTTGTTGCTCCCTTAGTACTGTACAGTATATGTCTCAATGTCTGAATAAAGACAGAGATGGATTGCATTTTTCAGAGCAACTAACTATTCTATTCAATATTTTGCTCAACATTTATTTGTTGCTTACACCAATTTTATTCTTTATCTCACCACGAGAGTCTGGGTTTTTAGAAGTAATTCCAAGGGAAAACGCTAACAAGTCCAAATGGCATTTTGGCCCTTTTATGAAAAATCTTGTAACAATATGCTTTTTAATCTACACAATCAATGAATTTTCCACTTTTTTACTAAAAGTTAGAAAAAAATTTAGAGAATAATCTCAAAGTAGAAATAGAAAAATTAACCCACACTTTTAACGTTAGACTTGATCTCTCTATTCATCCATTTTAATTAACTGCTTAGTCCAATACAGGGTTGCAGTGAGCCAGGATCTGATATTGCAGACAAGGAGCACAAGGAGGTAGGATACACACTGGACAGTAAGCAAGTCCACTGCAGCTCTCACATACAGTATGTATACAGGGGATAAAGACAGCATGTCTTTGGAGTGTGGAGGAAGTCAGAGCAACTCAGGGAAGTATCTTTCAAGGGAGAAACTCATATGGCCCCAGGTAGAACAAGCAAATGCTAAACAGAAGGCACCGAGGTTAGAATTGAACCCAGGACACAAGACCTGAAAGGCAGCAGAGCAAACCCAAATGCCATGGTGCCACCCCTATATGGGTAACACAGACATTTCATATACAGTGGCCATGACATTCGAATAATTTCTAAAAGTATGAATTTTCTCATTGCACACATACTGTGTATCAACAGCTCTTATGCTCAAAGTGATTCCACTGCTTTGCAAAAAAGGATTTTTGGCATTTAAAAGGCAAAGAGAAATTCATCATATTTAACACCTTTGCCTGTGCCAATCTAAAACAGAAAAAGAAATGTCAAAGAAGGGAGAAAAGTATCCCAATTCAAGACCAAGCACTTCCAGGAGGAGATCTGTGCATTTACTGTAAATCCAGTTTATTACTTTGCACTTTTTCCCTAACCAGAACTATGTTTTACTATATTTGATGTTGCATCTATCATCAATAATACATATAAAATTAATGAATGAAATGTTTTTCTTTTAGTTCCACTCAATTACTATGTATAATTCCTGGAGTGTGAATACCCTGTATAACCACGACTGTAATTTTAAAACTCACCCTTACTTAGGCTGGTAGGGCACAAGAGATTGTTTGACTTGCATACAGGGTATATTCTGCATTGAAGTTATTAATGAACATTTGTGTTCATTCCCAATCAAGGGACACTGTCAAAGAAAGGAGTTTGTAAAGGGGCCCCCTGAGTGAGAAAGCTGAGGGGGTGAAACTAGAGCAGGCTAGATAGTGCAGTTTGAAAGGATAAATGGGGCTTAAGTAAGGACAGAGTTCCTATGTGGCTCTTCAGCTGAGAAAAAGCACCAATATTCAGTAAAACAAGTTTTCAAGGACCATGCCTGTTAAGTGCTCAAAGACAAACTGCCCCCAAAAGACATTGTGCATAAGAAATATGTTGACTTTATAAACATTATCCAACTGATGATTCACACATTGTATATATTGCAACCATATTTTTCACATGAAAGCTGGAGACAAAGGAAAAGCATAATGTGTCATGGACTCCTTGAACTGACTGTGCAAAGTTCAGACCCAATTTATTCATCGGAACACATGTAATAACCACAGTACTGAAGAAGACACAAAGGACATAACAAGAACGTCTTTGTTCCGTACACTGTGATGTTATAATTATTTAATGATGTCAACAGAATCAAATCTTGTGAGAGAGGGTGAACAGTCAAGACTCCCATAGAATGGCAGCTCCATTCATTTTGGAATTTATAAGCTGTAGGCTCAAATTTAATACAACACCCGTTGCGGAATAATTATTTTCCTTATATGAGAAACGCTGTCCAAACATATTTGTGAATTAAAGTTATTTCATTGTGCTGATTTTCTGCCTCACCAGTACAATGTGTAAATCCTGAAATGACTCAAACTGTCATGCAGTAAGTCTTATCTGTTCCCCCTTTTGTCTAAAATGCTGACAGCAAATAATGTCAATATCCTTGAATGTTTAGCTTGCACCAAAAGGATAAAGGCATCCTGGGTTTTGTTTCTGAAGTGGATAAGGGAATCTAAGGTTTTGCTTTTAAGCTTCAGATTTTAAATTTAAGAGTTTTAAGTTTTTCACACTTTTATTTCTTTTCAAAACATCCAATATCCAATATCAAAACAATATTCACTTCAGCAATGAGACCAGCAAATAGGAAAAAGTAGTTGTGAGAGATTGTTGCCTACCTATAAACAAAGCCTTGGTTTGTGCCAGCAGTGGCGCCTACCCCCTCCCCCCCAGTCCCTATAGGCTGGTGACAGTGAAATTGTCCTCTGTTGGCTGGTCGAGAAGCTGGCACAGCACACCGCTTCGATGAAGAGGGGCGCTCATGCCCAGCTGCCCATGCGCAGAAAGGGGTGGGTAGCGGGGGTGGTAGTTCTCCGGGGGCAGGTGAAGGCTGTGCTCTTCGTGGATGGGGGAATTGTCCAGAGTAGCAGCACATGTAGAAGCAAGGAGAGGAGGATAAGGGGAAGGGGGGGCGGCTACCCTTAGAGATGCTACTCTACCCATCTCCTGGGACTCTTTCTCTGTATGGCCCAGTGGGATGGAGCTGAGGATCTGGGGACTCACTCCCACCCTCTCTGCAAATTCGTCCCTCTTGTCGTAATGGTGGGGGCTGCCAGCCAAGGAGCCGCCCTGTGGGTACCAGTATGGGGAGCCACTGTAGCTGGGGGAGTCATAGTGCGACAGGTCTTTGCTGGCTCGGTGGGGACTCTGGGCAGCACAGGAGGACAGCAGCCTCCTGGCATCACAGGGCAACGGGCTCTCTTTGTAAGCTAGGGTTGGGGAACAGCTTGGGGAAAAGGTCTTGGGAGGGCCGGTGTAAGCGTGTGGGGGCTTCAAAGGGGGTGAATGGAAGGGTTTGGTGGGTTCAGGTTGCAAAGCCACCACAGGGGAGAGGGAGGCTGCCTCGCTGTGGAACATCTGGGAAAACCTGTCCTCTGAGGATGGGGTAGAAGGGTTGACGGAGTAAGGACTGGAGTATTCACACTGCTCTCTCTCCCCTAGCCCATAACCTTGAGCTTGGGCAGGAAGAGGGGACATGCTGCTGCTATCACCGCTGTAATAGTCCACTGCCATGTCTGGGCTGTCCTGAAACAGAGTCATGGATGCAGGTTGGGAGGTAGCCTTTTGGGCCTTGGGCTTCCCTAATGTGGCTCGTTCCCGTCTGCAAGAGGTGAAACCACCGCGGGATCCTCGTGGCTGACGAGCCCCTACAGTGCTCCTCTTAGGGCCTGGGACAGGTGAAGAGGAACTTGAGGGAGAAGATACTGAAGGGAAACCCAGGTGGTGGCTCTCTCCTTGGGCTTCAGCCTTTTTCCTTCGCCCACGACCTGGTTTTGTGCCCCCTTGGAAAAGGACACTCTGGTTCCAGTTATAAGAGGGGCCTGTGGTGCTCTCATTCCAGTCCATCATGAGTTTCTCCAGGCTGGAGAGACTCGACTGGCTCTCTCCAGAGGGAGGGGGCTCCTGCTGCTTGTATCCAGCTGATGCTCCAGACTGGCCCAAGTGGGAACTGTCTGAGGAGGACTCAGAGAAAGTTTCAGAAAATGACCGCTGCTTGGCCTTCTGGGGAGTGTAATTAGAGATGTCTAATATATCCTTGGGCTCACTGCTAGTGTTGTAGTCATAGGAACTGGGATACTGCGGGCAGAAGATTTCTGTGTTCCAGCTGTTCCCTTGATAGCTTGGCCTGTAGCTCCACTGGGACACTGTAGAGTACTGCCTACAGCTATCTAATGGGAAAGGGTAGGAGTTATTCCTGGTTGCCATGAATCCCCCTGGAGAGACTGCCCCTGTATGACTTTCTGCACGGAGCAATGCAGAGGCTGAATGCACTGAGCTTTGGAATCCGTACCCTCGCTTTCCAAGTGTGTTTGACGTGTGGTGGCTGGAGTAGCCCATGTTGCAATGGCTGCTGGGAGATGTTGGTAATGCTTTATTGTTGCCTCCTCCATAGGGGAAATTACAGTCACTCAACCGCTGCCCTTCATACTGCTTCAATGGCTGGAGAGAGGAATTTGCAGGACTGCTCCCTGCCTGTGACCCACTACCAAAGCTAGAGTAATGTGGATAACTACCAGAAGGATGGGGGGAGCTGGGGGACCTGGAGAGGGAAAGAGGGGGGACTGCTTTCTGAAAGGAAGTAGGAGATGTTTGAGAAAGGTTGTAGCTACTGCCTTGTGGGTAAGGAGGTCTTCCGGGATTGGGGGGCTGAGAAGTGCCCTCACTGTTAGATGGACTAGCTTTGGGGCATCTTTTGGGAAAAGCAGGGGACCAACGCTGGCTTTGAGCAGGGCTTCCAGTTTCATAACAACCTGGAACCTTGCGAGATTCACCACGGGGTCCAGCCGGGTTAGACATGGAGAAGTCCAACAGGTCTGAGGAATCATCTGAATCTAAAAGAGAGCGGAAATATCCAGCGAAAAGTCCTTGGGACTCTTGGTTGCTCTGGGGTGGGGCTGAGTAGTAGCCACTCTTCCCAGAATCACAGGTTGCAAAGCCTCGGGGAGATGAAGAACCTTGGTAACCAGGGCCCCTTTCTGACTGGCTGGGCCTTCCATCAGCTTTTCTGACCCAGCTATTCTCTGCAGTCCACTCCTGACCCTGCTGCATCTGTCCTGCCTTCAATATCCCATTCTTACGTGGACGCCTCTTGCGCACCACTTTCTCTCCTGGAGGAACTCTGGGATGCTCGACTGCTGCTGGTTTACCTCGTTTACGAGGTTGAGTGGGGTCTGTTGGTGGGGTTTTCCGCTTCTTCCCAATAGTCTCAAAGAAGTCACTAAAGGAACGTTTGAAGGATTCAGAAGATCCAGCAAGGCCACCTCTTCCTCCCATGCAGCCAGCCCGGCCCCCTCTTCGCCTGAAACCTTGGAGTCTGTGCAGCAGGGTAGAGATGTTTGGGTTCTCAGGCGGCTGCTGGAGGGACTCAGGCTCGCTGGGGGTCCAGCAACGTGGTGGGGAGCATCGGCCAGTTGTTGGGGGTTGGCGGTTGAGGAAGGCTAGCTTAGAGAGAACGTCGCCATAGTCACTTTTGGCATCATTGGTGTCCGCCACATAAGAGGGCAGCGGAGAAGGTAGCTTGACTCTTCGTCGGCGGCGAGGCTTTTTTACCTCTCCAGCCTTGACCTCCCGGGGATCAGGCTGACCAGGTGGGATCTGCTTGGGGGGTCGTCCACGCCGCCTCTTCAAGATGACCGGAAGTTCTCCAGGGGGAAACATAACCATCACGTTCTTGCCATTGTTCTTCATCTTCAGCAAAGCCGTGGGCTCGCGCTGGGGCCCCTTACTGACTTCCCTTTCCTCCGTTCCTCCAGAACCCTCTGGCACTACAGGGCTCTCCATAGAGGAAATCTTGTAGCTTTTGTGACGGCGGCTCATGTGAATGGGGATGCGAGCCACTTTCACCACAAATTTACGGATGCCCACACATTTTCCTTTCCGCTTGCTTCGGGTGGCGGTTGAAGCCATTTCGGTCTCCTCACTTCTGGAATGAGTCCCAGAGGGAGTTTCACTATAGCCTTTATGATCATCCTGTTCAGCACGTCTCACCTCCAAAGCCTCTGTCACTCTGTCCCCCTTCCAGGATTTCTCTGCTGGTGCTCGCCCCCTGGAGTTATCCATTGATGCTATTTCTTTGCTGGGTCTCTCCTTCTCATCCTTGGTCACCCCTTCCAGAGCTCGTCGCAGGCGTGATGACTTTCTCAAGTGACAGGGAAACCTAGGCCGCCCTGAACTCCTCAAGGCATACTTCCTTTCATTCTCAGGATGTGGCATAATTGAAGGATTCCCTCGGGGAACAGGAGGCTGCTGCTGGACCTCTGAATGTCTTTCCTCAGCTACAGCTTCTACTTGGGGAGCAAGGACAGGCGCTGTGTTAAGAGGTGTGACGGGTAGGCATTCTGGGATGTTCTGCTGGTTTGTGGCTGGTTCTGCTTCACAAAGTGGACTCTCTAAAGGAACTGTAGTCTCAGTAATAGGACAGACAGACATCAGCTGATTGGGTAAGTCTACGAGTTGATCTGCTGGCGGTTCTGCTGGTGGATCCTCATTCTTCTCCATCTTCGGCTCAGGCTCACTTGGTTGCAGCTGCTGCTGTGGCAGCTCAGCTGGCTGCAGCCTCTCTGGATCAGGCTGTCTCTGTCGCCTTGGTCCAATCTTGGGCCTCTTGTGAATCTGCTCCTCAGGGCTACGGAGACCATTGGCCAGGGAGGGTGAGGAAAAGAAGCTGTAGTGGAGGGAGGCTCCAGTTGCCGCAGTGCTTTCCCCCCAGCCTCCCTGCCCCTCCAGCTCAAGGCATTCGTCCTCGCTCAGGCTGCCACAGCCTACCCGGACCGCGCTCGATCGCAGACGCCCCGAGAGCTGGCTCATCTCCTTGGTGATATCAATCAGCTGCACCACGGGGCACAGGTTGATTCTCCCGTTGCCACACTTTGCACGTAGCAAGGTCAATATACCGTCAATGTTGTTGCCTCTGCCAGGTGAAAGCAAAGTGGCACTGGGAATTCGATTCAGGGCCCGCTTCCCCTCTTTTCCCTTCGCCTTTAAGTTCTCCAAAGAACAAGCTCCCCCTTTCCTGTGAGGCAGGCGGGTGTCTGGGGTGTCAGTTGGGGCTCCCTGTGGGCTGCAGGTCAAGGACACTGTGAGATCGCCCAGTGGTTCTCTGTTGTACCCGTCCAGGGGCAACACACTGGGCTGGCTGTTGCTCTTTCCGTGGCAGGCGAGCTCAGAGGTCTTTGGTGGCTCCTCAGTGCTTGAGGCCAGCCTAGAAAGAGGGGAACACGGTCTGATCTGCTGTTTCCTCTCCCTCTTAATTTCTTGGGAGTCTAGAAAGTTGACACAGGAATCTGCAGGAGAACAAAAATAGGACTGGTAAGAATGTCAGGCTGTGCTCCATAGATAACTTGCTATGGTTATAAAACTATCCTAGTAAATTTATGCATAGAAAAACTAATTTTGGATATTTAGCTTCCCTTCCACTGTACTTTTGGAGTAAGGCTTACTAGATGTACAAATCATTAGCTGTATTTTCTTTATTTTGTACTTGCAATCCTTACGTAATTCTACTTTTTAGTCAAAAATTCAATTTGTATTGAATTTTATAATATGGAAATTGCTTCCCACTTTCCATATTAAGTGTAACAGTTGTTTTTGGCATTTGGGCCTATTTTCCTGTACAAATGGTAACCCACAAACCTGGAGGACCACTGCAGAATGCAAAATTATTTTCAGGAAGGTTCGTTCATCAGATTTCTTGACATGTACCACTACTGATAAGGCATAGCTCACACTACTCCAAAATCCCAATTATTGTGTGAACCTGGTGAACTTTGTAGTACACTTCCCCCAGAAGCTAAATGTCCTTGTGTCCTACGAAATACTAAATGGCAAAAAACTGTGGTTCCTCAAAGATGATTCAGGGCAGTGTGAGGAGGAAGCAAAGCAGGTGGTCTGAGCTTCCTTCAGCCTACTTCTGCAGAGCTGTGAGCCTTTGCAACACTAATATACTTCTCCACCCCACTCCTACACTTTGAACTCGATGGGAAACTAGTTAGGAGGTTATACAATTATTGACACACAACATAGTATACACAAAAATTAAAACAAAAACTGCTAAAAACATACAGTATGTACACAAGAAACTCATTCTTCTTGACATTTCTACATCTGGACTGTATTTTGGAGAGGTACTTTATAACTTACCTTTTTTAAACAGATTGATTTCTAAGTATAGAAATTTTATTTAATTCATAAAGCACTGAAATTAGACAAATAGCTCACAATACAGTACAAATAAGATATTTAGCTTACCTTCCACTGTACTTTTGCTGCCATTGCACTTGATATCCCTGAGAAAAGAAAATTATATATATATGATTAAAACTATCACAGACAGACATCATTATTATTGCAACTTCAGTTAACAATAGCAACGTATGCTAAGAAAAATATCAACACTCTAAAGAACTCTCTGCCATGATGAAGTGTTATGGTTTCTGAGTGTAACCTTTAAAGATCAAAATGTGACTTAAAATCATAGTGTGACTTAATACAGGAGTTGTTTTATATACATTCTAAACTAGTAACAATGAATAACAGCACATTGTTAATTCCTGTTTATGAAATACGTGTATGGTATTGTCCCTTCTGGAAGTACAGAGCTCAGGTACAACAGTACTTTCCTCTAAATAATTTCCTTGCAGGAGAAAGTTCAGAGGCAAATTTTTAAGAATTCAGAAGTGTGTCACAACCATGTTTTGCATGCATATTTGTTATTTGTTTCGGGCATATGATGAGAAGGGTGCTCCTCACATACAACCACAATGTCAGAGACGTAGAGTGACAATGATAATGATTTTTTTGTAGATATTTTGTAGACTTCCTTCAGGATGGTTAGGTGTTCTATAATTCTGTTGTCAAAGGTTAAATTGATTTAGAAGGTATAAGTCACATTTCAAGCTGCATTAGAATGGACAACATTTTACAACATAGTACAAGTTGATTCCTACAGATTCCTTAAACTTGTGTATTTTCCTGTATGTTATTTAAAACTAATCAGAAAAGCAATCTCTATTTTTTATCAGGTAACCTAAATACTTCTCTGATATGATTTACTAACAGACTATAGCTGTTGTAACTTGAACATATACTGCTGCTTCTTATAGACCTTTTCCCCCAAATACTGGAGCCTAGGACCATGTTCAGCATGCAGTTCAACTGTTAAAACATCGCGACGTCAGGAAACAGTGATGTCAAGAAACAAGAACACTTTGGAGTGGAGATAATTTTACCACAAGAGGCCAGTACTGAGCACACAGCAGCTCAAGGATAAAATGTAATGGAAAGCACAGGACAGAGCCTACAGACACCAGCAGCACAAAGAATAGAAATAAAACAACAGACATTTCAATACACAACTATACATTCCTAGCTTAGGGTTCAGCTATGACAAATTTACAAATGCCCACCAAACAACTGTAAACTAATCTTTACTAACCACATATATATGCTTTAGCTATATAAGAATAAATCAACAGGTTTAAACTCTCATCTGAAAGCTACGCAATTTGTACACTTCTGCACATTATATGTGAATCACAATACTTTTCAAGATACTTCTTTACAGATTTTTCTGCAGTTCAATGGGCATATGTGTTTTCGCACAGATCTTCCTCTCTTTCTCAATCACCGGACGAATATTTTAGTCAGGAGTCAGGATACGATGTGTTTGGATCCATTACAGAATGGATACACTCTTTTTTGTCAGACTGTGAATGGACTGGAGACTGGAGACTGGAGAGATGTAGTCACAGACACTCTAGTTCGGCCCGACACTCCACAGACACCCAACACCCACACGCTGAGACACAAGCCGACTGTGCCATCGTCACCTTGTTACATGTACTGATTCTGCAGAAAACCAAAGGAAGGGCAGGAGGCAAGACTCCTTCTGTATTGCGCTGGTGTTTCTCAAGAGACGTTTTCTGAAGGTCATTTAGTGGGGAAGCCAGATAAGAAAAACACCCACAGTTTCCATTAACCACAAAATCTAGGAAACTGTGACCACAAAATATTCCCAGCACTGCCTCTAGTATGGACAGTGGTAGATGACCTCTCTTACTCAATCTTCCCATGCTATACAGGAGCAGAAATTACTGGCGTCCTCCTTAAGTGAAATTTAATTTAAGCGTGCTTTGAGTTTAAGTGTGTTACACAAAGCAGTAGAACACATTGGAGGCAGCATCCTTGTCAAGTGAAATTATTATAATCAATATAATCTAACCTAGGAATATTAATGCAGCCAAGCCCAATGCTCCAGCTCTAGAATCTCACACGCTGGACAGTATTTAACTCATTCTTATGAGTTTATGAATGGCTCTACCCTTTGAGGGCAGCCCTGAAACCCTGGACCCTGGGGGAAATTGAACGTCCTTGGAAAACACTGGCAAGCTTTCTTTCCAAAAAAGCATTATTTCTTACCTTCATAACAAGTTGAATACAGTATGTTCCGATACAGTGCAAAACTATTGACAAGCAATTCCTTTTTATTTTTTTACTGTCATTCCCAGAAAAAACTATTTAATGAATGAAAAATAAAAAAAACAATAATGAATAAGACATGGTAGAATTAAAGATTATAAAGAGGAATTAGTTTTAATGCACAGTACTAACATGCCGTAGAACAAATTACTTATAATATGAATAAAACATTTTTTCCTGGTGAAAGTGTGTAAAAATGGCATAAAGGGCATAAAATGAGGCAGACCCTTCTTAAAAGAGCTCTGAAAGTGAAAGTTAGGTCACGCTTATTCTTTCATGGTGATGGTTCTCTACACATACAAGATTATTCCATAATACTGTATATTAGGAAGGAAAATTGTACAGTGACTTTTCCAATAGGGAGCTCCTCACATACAAGCACAATGTCATGGACCTAGAGTGAGAGCAAACCCACCCTGTATGGTGAACTTGCGCTGGAGGGCACTATAAACCTTCAAAAACGATTAAATAGGATAAATGATTAAAGAAGAAATACTGCTGCTTTAGAGAGAAATTCCTTGTCTTTTCTCCTGGGTTTATTTAACAAATTAATGACACAAACCGTTGAAAGGACACATTCACACAGACTATCCAATACACATAAGGCCAGAGATTTTTACAAGTTATACTCATTTATTTGGCTGACGTTTTAATCCAAAGCAATTTATATTTGTACCCATTTATACAACTGGGACTTTTACTGGAACAAATGGGGTGATGTTTCTTGCTCAAGGGCACACCAGCTTGAGTCTCACCTGGGATGTGAACCCACATCCAGATCCCTAACCGCAACTCCACACTGCTGCCCAAAATTAAAGTCAACCAGAAAAACAAGCCAAACCAAATAAAACCGTTTCGCAACTAAGAAAATAAAATAAAACTGTTAAACATTCAGACAAACACAAATGCTCTCAGGACTACACACACAATCACATCTGGGATACGTACATACACACCTGCACCCACACAAATACATTCCCTCACACATTTAGAACCTCTTGCTTTTTCCCTCTGACAGATCTATAAACAAGTGCTTCTCCAAACCACACACAAACAAGCACATCTGCAGTAGATTTTTTCTTAGAATTGTCTAGAACACTCCTGCTGCTCTCTCCTAACCCTCCTCCCCCTTCCCCCCTTTCATCCTCCTTCTCTGCCTCCCCCAAGCTCCAGCCTGCTGAAACTGATCCTGTGATGTCAACCCTGCCAGGGCGCCAGTCACATGATCTCTGCCCCATGACAGCCCGCTGGCACTGGCTGGGCACCCCATACTGCGCCAGGAGTTGGGAATTCATCAGCACCACTCCCCACTGGCACACAGTAGAGCGCTCTCTCTCACACACACAAAAAAACAGACCTGCATAGAGCCTACACACTGTCCCAGGCTTGCACTGTGTGGACGGTCACAGACACACACATTTTTTAAACAATTTCAACTAGGCTCTTTCCCTCTCCTGTGTCTTCCTGGTTTTTCGCTCTGCTTCAGCAAAACCACCGAGCATCTGCTGCGGGTCTTGCAATGTGTTTTGAGCAATCTTCATGAAAAAATAACTTATTTTTCTGCAATTATTACCCCCTTTTCGTTTTGCCTTATACAGAAAGACACCCTTTTATTTTTCCCCGGCTCTCTATCTCTGTATCGAACAACAAGCTGATAAAACCAGGCGATGTCTTTCAAACACATACCACTACCCCCCCATCACATTTTCTGGCAAAATTCTGGCTGATTCAGCAGGGTCACATATAGAACCCAGCACTGACTGCCAATGTCTGAGCCGGCATTTTAGTCTCCACACTGCAGGATTCACCTTACAAGCAGGCAGTTCAAGCCTGCCCTCACTAGACTGCTTCAATCTATTCATTTCTCAACATTATTCAAATACTTTATCAGACAGAACGTTCAACAAAATAAAAAGGAAACATTTTGGCGCCACCTTGTGGGTGAATGACTTAAGACGTGCTGCTCCTGAACTGCACATTTAATGACTGAATGGCTGTTTTAAAAGATGCATAAGAACAAAGAGGTGATTACATGGGAGGACTGATTTTGTCTTCCTTATTAATTAATACTGTTTTTTTTCTTTTAACAAGCTCAAAGCTGGGACACTTGATAATTATTTTACCTGATGTTATTGACTGGAACAGCTGACTTGCACTAATCTGGAAGTGATAACACAGCCCCGGGGTTTGGAGCCAGACAAGGAAAGCCAGAGCCCTTACTGATGAATATCAGAATCTCAGGTACCTGAGGTAGAGCAAAATAAGGAATATGCAGGCACTCTATATTGTCCAACCTTGGCAATCACTTTTCAATGCTTGCATCAGAATTCTCACAAATACTGTATCTAGCCTTGCAGTGCACTGTGGATTTGAACATTAGTCTGCAATCTTTCACACAACCAGATTTATTCTGGTCCAGTCTGGGGCTTCAGGGTAATTGGTTTTGTTCTGCAAGCCTGAGAACTTTTTTTACAGCAATTAAGAATTACCTTTCTCGACCCAGAAACACGCCTCCAGTACATCGCTGATCAATCTGACAGAGGTGCTGCACGGTACATGATCTACAAACTACAGTACAAGGTATACGACATCAAACACTTGGTAGGCACCTCATAACACCCAACAGATTTGGATGAAGGAATAAGGGGAAGTATTCTGAAAAGCAAGATGTGTTTGCACAGCAATCACAAAACAGGATAACAATACAGAGTGATGTAGATCAGACAATTTCAGGAAATAGTTATAACAAAAATACAGTAAAAGTATAACAAGGCACATACGGTACTGTCTTCCAAATGGAATGTGAAGT